TATTTTCTTTATTCATTTGAAATTTTTTATTTTATCAACCATTTGCAGAATGCAGAGTAAATGTTGTAAAAGAGAAAAAGAAAAACCTTGTAAAAATTTTGATCTGGAAAAGAAACCCAGAAATGTTTTGGTACATAACTTGTTATTGATAATCTCCAAAAGTTAGCAGTATATATTATAGAGACTATGTCTCTTTTTCTGGAGATGTTTCTATCAGTTGGACTCTGAGGGAATGGCTGGCTACCTAAACATATTTACTATTAGCTAACATAAATTAGGCTGATCTGGAAAGTATGCATGCCCACACACATATATATTGTTATAGGTAATATGGTGGCTTCTGATTTGGGAAGAAAGCTCTTAACCTCTATAATGTAAAAGAGTAGCAAAAAATTTTATTTGCTTTCAACTGCTTATCATTTTGCCGCTTTAGTGTGCTTCATGATTTCTACATGCTTCATTCTTGATTTCTTGTGCTAGCTACTTTTGTTTGCATTGTTGCATTTTGACTAATCAATTAAGATGTCCCTAGTTACAAATGGAAAAAGATCAATCCATTCTTTTAACCTAAATGCAAAGATTGGACTATAATTCTTCTCTAAGTTGGAAAATTAACACACTAAGGAGTAAATATTTAAGTATGTAGTATAGATAATGCCCCTGAACTTAAGTATAAAATAAGACATAATGAAGTATATTCTGCTGCTTATGTATGTCTTAGAAATATTAATACTTAGTGGAAAATCATAACAATCCATTCAACATTAATTAAGGTAAGTGTAATTTATTTTTGCAATGCAAACATGTATAATCTGTATCACAGTCCTATTTCCTCCCACTAAATAAGTCAGCAGTTGGGTGTATCTGACACACATGAATTTATTACATAAAGTATTTAATATCGTGGTTATGCATTTTAGATTCTAAACATGAGGTATGTGACTTCTAAAACCATAATCAAACTACTTACAAGTTTCTCTTAAAAATATGTTCAACTGGGTCTTTTACAAATATGTAGTAGTATGAGATAAAATCACACACAGTATTTGTCTTCTATGTGGAGATCATCTTGAAACTTGTTACATATTTTTTTTATCAATCCCATTTATCTCAAAGCTTTGAATTCAATACAGGTGTTTATTTCAGTAGGTTAGTGAATGAGCTCAAATATAGTTATCAATCTCATGGTAGTGTTTAGGCAAGTAGAGAACTATTGAGGTAATTTCTCAAGTGTCCTGCATTGAGAATGAAATGAACTCATGGCAGCCACTGTCACTTAGCAGTATTCCCTAAACTTCAGATCAGATGCCACCCTCACTATTTTTGCCAGGCTTTAAGTACCACCAGTATTATTTAAATTGCTTTAATCTATCATCAATGACTTATTAAAAATTCTTAAGCAAAAACACCCATAAAGCCACATATTCGATTTATTTTTCCTGAAGCATTAACATAAATACATAACCATTAAAACTTTCAGTGTTCCTCCATGCACTACTAGTGGTCTCACCCTTGGGGAAGCTCTGACTTGAAGGACTGGAAATGTGAGACCCACCTCAGAAAGCTGAATATCTCTCTTCTCACGGTACCTGCAGTGGGGGCGCCTCAGTTGGAATCTGAGCAGCTAGGAGGGGACAAAGATGTGTGCGTTTTAACTCCATACTTTCTATTGAAAGCCTCACTACTATAACAACTTGAGAAATTCTATAGGTAGTGTATAAAATAAGATACACTATAGAATAAGATCTTTTAAAATATGTTCAAGACCATATTTGAACACTACCTTTTTTCTTAAAGAATAGGATTTATCAGTTAGCCTGATCATTTCCTCTTTTGCTTTCTGGAAAACTTTTAATTATACTCTTAAGTGTGGCAGCCTACTGCTCTCTGCAACTCCGTAGGAAAGATTTATTTAAAGATTTCAACCTTTAAATTTGTATAAAAACTTGCTGCTTTTGCCCTTTTGTCCCCTTCACTGCAGCCCCTTACCTAGTTATGTTTTTGCTCCAGCTGCCTAACATCTGGAAAGATAACACGAAGATGAACACATGTGTTGTCAAGTTTTCCATTAAGAATTTAATGTAAAATAAACAACTGACGGACAGATCTGTCTTCCTTTTCTTCCTTTCCTCCCTCCTTCCTTGCTTACTCATTACCCTTTCTTCTCATTCACAAGGACATGTGCTCTGACCTTCATCTCTAAAAGTAAGCAGAAATTGTAAATATTAAACTAGAAACATATTATTGATAATAATTTATGACTTGTAAATACTGTTAAGGAAGGCTGTACTAGAACACACTTATTCACTGAATGTATCCTGGAAATCCACCACTTATACTTAAAGCATGTAAATACTGTATGTTGGGAGGGAAACTACTATATTTTATAATAACTGCAGTTACAGTGCTTTCCCTCTTAAAGGAGCTTTAATCATTCGTGTCTTCTTCACTTTCATGCTTAGTGTACCCTTACCTTCAACCACAGGAGTTTCACAGACTGTCCATGTGCAGAGATCAGTTTCATGTTGTTTGTCTGTAAAATAGATGTGCAGTGACTGCTTTTTTTCATTTTTTAAGTGCTTTAATTTAATAGTTATTAAACTCAGTCTGTGTTTAACACTTCATTTGAAATACTAAAGAAAATTAGTTCCACTTGCATTAGTCCCACAGGATACCAGGAGAAAAAGGCAGCCTTGAGAATTAATAATACTAACAAGGAATCAGCTGTGCAGAAGGTCAGAGCACATGTCCTTGTGACTGAGAAGAAAAGGGATGAGTAAGCAAGGAAGGAGGGAGGAAAGGAAGAAAAGGAAGATCTGTCCATCAATTGTTTATTTTACATTAAATTATTAATGGAAAACTTGACAACACAATAGCTGTGTGACTGGCTAAGTCACTCTGAGCCTTAACTTCCCTGCTAATGGAGATAAAAATCAGTGTTAATAATTCCCAACATTTACTGTGTGTTACCATTATTACAAACAGTAGTATTTTATATGCAATTGTTAATCTTCAAAATGAGTTCATGTCTGTTGTTAGTTAGGCCCATTTTACAGATGATGAAACAAGAGGTTAAGTAACTTGCTCACAGACAACTAGCAGCAGAATTAGACTTTGAACCTAAATCATCTGCATCTTACTATATTATATACTCTGTACTCTATATTCTGTACTCTGTATACTGTATAACCTGTCCTCTATACTATGCACTCAGTACTCTTATTCTGTACTTGTACTCTATGCTTTGTGCTCTCTAGGCTGTACTTGGTAATATATATTCTGTACTCTGCTCTATACTATATACTTAACTATATATACTATATTCTCTGTATATATTCTATAGTCTCTATGCTCTGTAGTGTGTACTCTGTGCTCTATACTCTATATGCTCTGTGCTCTATACTATATGCTCTATGCTCTTTACTCTCTATACTATATATACTGCTATATATACTCTATACTATATACTCTATATACTCTATGCCCTGTACTCTATACTATATATTTCTGTGCCCTGTACTCTATACTGTATACTCTATATACTCTGTGCTCTATACTCTACACTATATTCTCTCTATATTCTGTGCCCTCTACTCCATACTGTATATGCTATGTGCTCTATGCTCTGTACTCTTTATATTCTGTAGTCTGTACTCTGTATTCTATATAATATATACTCTGTACTCTATGGACTCTCTGTACTACTCTAGACTCTTCTCTGTACTACATACTATACTCGCTGTACTCTCCTCTGTACTAAATACTCTATATACTGTGGCCTTTAATATTTTATTGTCACATGTGGCATCCACACTTGTTACTTACATTAGATGATTTTTGACTTGGACATAAAAGCCAAGCCATTTATTTATATTATGTTTTCAATCCAAAGAACATGTATACTTTTGTACTATATAAGAAACTGTAACTTGTACTGATTGCACTTGCCTGCCATGGTTTGGATAGATTTTTTGCATGGCTTTTTTTCTTTTCTAATGGATGCTGTCCTGTGATGCTTCTAAGCCTGTTCATGGGTATGTATCAGATGTCTTCTTTGCCTGTAAGCTTCCATCCTTAGGTATTTCTAATGTTTGTTTTTCTCTGTATACTTCCATACATAGCTGTGCACTATGAAAAATTGAGTGAATGATATGTATATTCAAAATAAAGCCTATTTCACTTTTAAAAAACGTACTCTAAACCCTGTACTGTATACTATATACTCTATGCTCTGTAGTCTCTATACTCTACTCTGTAGTCTATACTGTGTACTGCATACTCTATATACACCCTGCTCTGTACTCTCTATACTACTCTGTGCTCCATAGTCTGTACTTTATACTATATACCCCATGCTCTGTACTCTGTACTATATATTCTATGCTCTGTACTCTGTATACTGTATACTCTGTGCTGCCACATGTCTTTAATCTGTTGTATCATCTTCCCACCCAGATTCGAGCTCTAAATAATCTAAATCATAAATCAGCTTTATCAGAAGGAATGTATCCTAGATTCTTTGTGATCATGTTTATATGAATATAGATTATTCACTATTTTGATTTTTAAATGAAACCATTTTCAAATAGTTGAGCCATATGGCTGCTTTGGCTTTGTGTATGCCACCACTGTGGCCCATCTATCACTAGCTTTTTGGACTATGAAGTAAAACTAACATCTCTTGAGGATACAGAAGTTAAAGTCAGTTATCTATAGGATTCCTTCTGGCTCTAAATTCTAATGTATAAATGTGAATATAATTATTCATTTAAAGGTTTTCTTTAATTGAATCTGACAGATAATATCTAACAAAAATGTTTTATATACGCAGGCATTATTGTATCAAGCCTCTGTGTTGTATTTGTGTGACATGGAAATGCCATTGTCACCTAATGTGTGCTACCAAGTGCAGGCAGGTACTTAGAAAAGTGCATTCAGCCTACTAATTACCTTTCTTAGCTTGAGAAAAGAAAGGTAAGCTTTCGCCTTTCTTTCACCAGATGTAACTACTCCCGGATCTCCAAAGAACGTTGTGGAATCATCAATGGTGAATGGAGGTTTAACATCACAAACAAAAGAAAATGGGTTGCGCGCTGCACAGCAGGTGCCTCTGCAGCGGAAGAAGCTCCTCAAAGCCCCAACTCTGGCTGAACTGGACAGCTCAGACTCTGAGGTGAGTCCCATTAGGTCCTGGCTCTCAAATCTTGATTCCATGTTCAGAATGCCAGCCCTCTCTGACCTAGTTTACTAATCACGTTGCCTTAGTTGTTGCTTGATCTCTTCCTATTTTTCAATCAATAAAGTTGGGACTGAAATTCATTTGTTTGGCAGGAAGTGAAACAGTGGATTACTTACTGTTTTTCGGTAAAGACCAGTATAGTGGCCATAGTTTATAGAATAAGTTCTGAAATATTCACATGGTCTTAGATTATAGTGCTATTAAAATAAGAAAAAAAAAAGATGCAAACATAGTATCTTCATTATGTTTCCCTTCATTCTGGGAAGGAAAAAAGAAAAATATATTTCCATGGATTCTTCTCTTTCTTCCTCTCTCTCTCTCTCTCTCTCTCTCTCTCTCTCTCACACACACACACACACACACACACACACACACCTACCCATAGTGAAGCTCGTTCTTTCTGTAATAATACTAATAGACAGGTCTGCAAAAGAAAACTCTGCTAAGGTTATCCAGATTTCATCTTTCTCCTGCTGCCCTTTGGAGGAAGATCTCATGTCCTCCCTGTTTTCCAGAAAAAAATCAGGATGCTTCCCAATTCTCTCTCAAGCCTTTGTCTGCAGCATCAATGTTGTGTATCTCCACTGTATAAAATGAAATTACATGCTTGCCTCCCTCTTCCCTCAGGCCCTGCCAGACAAACAACTCACACACACAGCCAGCTTCTCATCTTCTGTTTGCTGTTGTGGTTGCTGGCTCCATCCACTCCATGTTCATCCAAGTTAGAATTAAGGAATTATTCTTTAATTGCCCAGACCTGTCTCTGAGACAGTTCTGGCAGCGTTCAGTGACAGTGCCACCCTTGAGCAAAGCAGCAGTAAAGGAGCAGCAGGAATTCTAGAAGTGACGTTGTTCCAACCAGCACGTATGATTAAGAGCCTACTGGTCAGGATGTAGAACTAGAAAAGGCCTAGTTTAGTGAGTGACTAGTAACTGCATCGGACAATACAAGCAAGCAAGTTTTAGAAAGCAGGCCTGGCAATAGAAAAGACTGGTGTTTCAAAGAATAGAGGCCATCAGGATCCCCCAGCCAGGTACAAAGTGCTTAGTTGGGGGAATGGGCACCACAGGGCAAGCTGAGCCGGATTCTATACCCACATCTTGTTCAGATCCGACCTCCAAGTCCCCTGGCCTCTTCTGGGCATCTTTGTGATTCCTCTGGGCTGGGAACTAATCTTAATGAAGATTAGTTTTTAAATAGTGAGAGATTGGGTCCAGCTGCATGTGGTCGGCAAGCAGGGGCAGAGGACCATCAACAGCTTTTGAGAGAAAATCCTAAAAGGACTTGAACCATGCCATTGCCCCCACCACTTCTCTCTCTCCTGCTGACTGACTTACAGTCACCTGACTGCCCCAGAACAGGTTCTTGGTTCTTCCCAGTAGAAGCAAGTGGAATCAGTAAAGAGTGGTGTAGAAGGGGTGGACATGCTCAGTTCTGTAAAACTGAACTCTAAAAATGTTTCTGGGGGGCTCCAGGGTGGCTCAGTTGGTTGAGCATCCGACTTCAGTTCAGGTCATGATCTCACAGTTCGTGATTTCGAGCCCCGCATCGGGCTCTGTGCTGACAGCTCAGAGCCTGGAGCCTGCTTCAGATTCTGTGTCTCCCTCTTTGCCCCTTCCCTGCTCATGCTCTGTCTCTCAAAAATGAATAAATGTTAAGAAAAAAAATGTTTCTGGGGAAGGTGGTCTAACATATGTGAGGCTCGCGGATGGTTTCTGCTATTTAAATCTAGGTAGCACCCACTTCATAATTTTTTGGGAGTACTGTGTATATGGCCCCTTTTTTCTTTTCCTAAGAGATACTCTTGGCATTTATTTCCTTTTGACCCTCCATAAGCAGAAGGAGGTCGTTCTAGTTGCTTGCTAGCTTTTCTGGAGATTTGTGTGACCTTTACACCATGTCTGGGGTTGAAACTTTGGTTACATTGCTTGATTTGTTCTTCATGGTATGTACCAAGAGTGTGGAAATCACTGTTCAAACCTTCTTTGTTTGAACTGTGTGATTTATATAGCCTTTTTTCATCCCATGTTCTTTGACCAGATCCTTTGTATTGTAGCTTGTTTGAAACCATAGCTTTCAACATTAGGTTTTAGGTGAGGCCATTTTTTATGAATGGCTAATTCTTAAAATCACCTTAACTAAGTAGGTCAGAGAGAATTTTCACTACTTGTCACACATAATCATAGGTTAATATTTTAACCTAATTTTCTTTCTTCTACATTTAAAACTATTTAGCAGTTTTCTATAGATATTATGGAAATAAGTTGTCTTTTAGTTCATGTATATCCTGTCACATAGTAGATAGTAAGTTTTTCATGAATAAATATTGTACTTAATCTTGGTATTATTATTAAAAACAAATTAAGGATGTCTCTTCTCACAGGTTACAGGAATTTAAATTTTGTTTTGCACAATGTAGATATTTTTCTAGATTCATATGAAATGTTTATTTTCATCTTTATTCAACAAATATTAATATTTATTCATTACTTAGTAACAGTGGGTTTGTTACAACAACGAATGAGACACATAGCTTCTACCTTCATGCAGATCCCAATCTATTACTTTTATAAATGTATTAAATATTTCCCTAATAATAATGTTAACCACTATTTACTGTGTGCCTGGTAATGTGTTAAGCATTTTGAGTTTTGAGTGCATTATCTTATCCAATAACACAGTGTAAAGATGGTTAAATACCAGGTGTTAAAACCTAGATGAGAAACTAGTTCCGTGTCCCATCACACTAATGAGGGATACAAACCCAGACTTGTCTTATGTTAGATCCCTTCTAGTTTGTCTTCTGCTTGCCTTGAACCTTTGGCATTTTAATTTGGTGCCTCACATTAAAATAAATCTCTAATAGTAAAATGTGATTAGCATGAGAGCACTAATGTCTAAGAATCTCTGTTTCTCTGCCCCCACCTTTCTCAGGAAGAAACTCTGCACAGATCAGCCAGTAGCAGCAGTGTGTCTCCCTCTTTCCTTGAAGATCCCTCAGTAGAGGCTGTGTCCACGAGGAAGCGTGAGTATTTGTGATGAAACGAGCTAGTGTCGGGGCGCCTGGGTGGCGCAGTCGGTTAAGCGTCCGACTTCAGCCAGGTCACGATCTCGCGGTCCGTGAGTTTGAGCCCCGCATCGGGCTCTGGGCTGATGGCTCAGAGCCTGGAGCCTGTTTCCGATTCTGTGTCTCCCTCTCTCTCTGCCCCTCCCCCGTTCATGCTCTGTCTCTCTCTGTCCCAAAAATAAATAAACGTTGAAACGAGCTAGTGTCAGATACCTTCAAAAACACACTGGACCTAGAATAGGGAATCCCAGAGTGCCTTGTGATCATTTAAGATAGAAAGAATTAACCCTGTAATTTCACTAGTCAGGAGCAGAAATATTGTTATAGTCCTAGAGTGACTTGTTAAGATAGGGCTTAACTGATAACTGGGCCTCAGGTTCTTATAACAGATCAGTCACCTTTGGGTTGTAAGGAATAAGTCAAGTGTGTGTGTGTGTGTGTGTGTCTGTGTGTGTGTTTTAGATTAATTACCTCCTTGTCTGAATTTAAGCTCAGAGCCCTAAGTAATCACACTTGTTATCATTCCCACCCCCACACACATATACACATATCTATACCCCCTTACATATATAGATAGTAAAAATGCCTTTGTAGCTCTTCATAGGTTCTGAACACAGAATCTGAAGTTAAGTGATTTCTAAATGTTTTTAATAATATTTTTCATGTACAAGATCCTTATGAAAGATTAAAAATTACACATTTAGGGAGAGGATTCTGGGAAGATGTTGGAACAAGAAGCACCAAGAATCCGTCTCCCACCTAGACAACAATTGCACTGGCAGAATCTGTCTGATGTAACTACTTTGGAACTCTGAAGTCTGTTGAAGGCTTGCAACTTCCAGGGGAAGATTTAGATGAAAACTTGTGGTAATTTCAGTCACTTTCAGCTCTTAGTACAGTAGCAGCTATTCATGCCCCACCCCCAGCCACAAGGCAGTTTAGTGTTCCTGAAGCAGCTTACACACAGTTTACAGGAACTAGGGTGGGCAAAAAGGACGCTGTCCTCCAAATATTGGGAATCTTTCCTTTGATTGCTGATTGTTCCATCTGATTCCAAAGGTGTAGACAAAGAGGCCTGTAGTCATTGTTGTTCCTTGTTGCCAGCTCCCTGCATGCTAAAGTGTCTTCCAGGGAATTTAAAGGGCTGGCTCCTTCCCCCTACCCCCTTCATTTTTAGCTTTTTCCCTTTCTGGAGCCAGACATTAAAGACTAAGATATTCAGAAAAAACTACATATATAGGAAAAATTATAAAGTTACTATGCATGCCCAGGGAATGGCTTATGAAAGACCTGAGATCTTAAGTTTATATCTCAAGCTGATCCTCAGCACAAAGAGAGCCAACAACAGTCAAGAAAACAGTGAACAAAAACAATAACAAAAAACAGCAGCACCTGGGAAAGGGGCAGAATATGATTTCCAGAGTTACCACATTATTAGATTCAAATGTCCAGTGTTTAACAAAACAAAACAAAATCACAAGGCATACAAAAAAACATGAAGGTATGGCCCATTCAGAGTAAAGAAACAATCAAAAGAAACTGCCCCAGAAAAAGAGGGTGATATGCCCATCAAAGACTTTAAAAAAAACTGTTTTAAAATGCTCAAAGAACTAAAAGAAGATGTGGAGAAAGTCAGGAACACTGTGTGTGAACAATATGGAAAGATAATAAAGAGCCAGAAAACCTAAAATGAAACCAAAAAAATTCTGGAGCTGAAAATTCCATTAACTGAAAAGAAAAATTCACTAGAAGATTAAAGGACAGATTTGAGCAAGCAGAAAAAATAATCTACAAATTCAGGCCAGGGCAATAGAAAACATCATGCCTGAGGAATAGAAAGACAAAAGACCAAAGACAAGCAAACAGAGACGGAGAGATCTGTCGGACACCATCAACCAGACCAACAAATGGATGGTGGGAGTCCCCGAAGGAGAGGAGAGAGAGGGGCAGAAAGAATAATTGCAGAAATAATTTCTGAGACTTTCCAAATTTGATGAAAGACATGAATATAAACATCCAAGAAGCTCCACTAAAATGAACTCAAAGAGACCCACAGCAGGACACATTATAACCCAACTTTCAAAAGCCAAAGACAGAGCAACAAGAGAGAAGTGCGTCACTAGAGACAAGGGATCCTCAATGAAATTTTCAGCATATTTCTCATCAGAAACTTTGGAGGCCTGAAGACAGTGGACCAATAACAGCTTTTTCACCCACTGTCACCCACAGTCTGAAAGTTTGCTTTACACCACTTCACTTTTTTTGAAAGATCAACATTAATATTTGTTTTAGCTAACTGAGAGAAATCCAAAGAGGATTTTCACTTCTACAAGATGTTTCAGTTGCTTCTTTGGTTTTTGCCATTTCAGCTTACAAAAGGTTTCATAGGAATGCTCTCCTTCCAGATAGTTGGGGAACTCTGTATATTCAGAGTGCTTAAAGAAAAAAAAAAGTCAAGCAACAATCTTCTATTCAGCAAAACTATAGTTCAAAGTGAGAGAGTAATAAAGATATTCCCAGATAAACAAAAGCTGAGGGAGTCCATAACCACTAGACCCTCCCTACATTAAAGGCTCAGAGGTCTTACAGGCTGAAATAGAAGGACACTAGGTAATAATTCGAAGCCATAGGAGAAATAAAGGTCTTGGTCAAATACATAGGCAATTATAAAAGCTAGTATTATTGTAACACTGGTTTATAACTGCACTTTTTGTTTTCTATGTAATTTGAGAGACTAATGCATTTAAAAAGAATTATTAGTCTCTATTTGGGGGAAGGCAGTGTATACAAATGTAATTTTGTGACATCAACAGCCAAGAGGGATGGAGGACAGAGCTGTATGGGAGCAGAGTTTTGTGTGGTATAGAAATTAAGCTGCTATACATCCAAATCAGAATGTTATAATTTTAGACTGTTAAATGTAGTTTCCATGGTAACCACAAAGAAAATAGCTACAGAATATATACAAAAGAAAATGGGAAAGGAATTTAAATGTTTCGTTATAAAAAAAAACAATTTCACATGAAAAACAAGAATGAAGGAAATGAGCTGGAAGGCATATAGAAAACAAATGACAGAAGTCCATCCTGATCAGTAATTAGTTTAAATGTAAATGAATTAAACTCTCTAATCAAAAGCTAGAGATTGGCAGAATGGATAAAAACACATGATTCAACTATATGCAGACTAGAAAAGACTCCTTTGAGATTCAAAGACATAAACAGATTGAAAGTGACAGTATAGAAAAGATATTCCACGCAAATGGTAACCAAAAGGAAGCTGGAGTAACTATACTGACATTAGACAATATAGACTTTAAATTAAAAATAAGTTACAAGAGACAAGGAAGGAGACTGTGTAGTAATAAAAGGCTCAATGCAGTAAGAGGAAAGAACAGTTATTAACATTTATGCACCTAATGACAGACCATCAAAATATATAAAGTAAAAACTGACAGAAGTGAAAGAGAAATAGACAGTTCTCAATAATAGTTGGAGACCCCTCTCACAATAATGGATAGAATAACTAGACAGAAGATAGGGAAATAGAGGACTTGAGCAGCCCAATAAACCAACTAGATCTGAAAGACATATACAGAATACTCCACCCAACAATAAACACACATTCTTCTTCAGGGCACATGGAACGTTTTCAAGAATAGACCATATGTGAAACTACAAGTGAAGTCTCAATAGATTTTAAAAGATAGGTATCATATACAAAGGATCTTCTCTGGCCATAATGGGATAAAGTTAGAAATCAGTAACAGAAAGAAAACTGAAAAATTCACAAAATTATAGAAATTAAACAATACACTTTTTAAAAATCAGTGGGACAAAGAAGAGGTCACCAGAGAGATTAGAAAATACTTACAAATGAAAATAAAAATACAACATATAGGACACAGTAAAAACACTGCTAAGGTGAAACTTATTGTGATAAACACATTTCAATGATTAGTTTGTGGTTTTAAAAAGAAAGGAAGGAACGAATGAATGAGTGAACCAACAACCTAACTTTACAACTTAAGGAACTAGAAAAAGAAGAACAAACTAAACACAAAGTTAGCAGAAGAAAGGAAATAATAAAGATTAGAGCAGAAATAAATGAAATAGAGAATAGAAAAACAATGGAGAAAATCCGTGAAACCAAAAATTGATTCTTCAAAAATATCAACACAGTTGACAAACCATTAACAAGATGGCCTAAGAAAAAAGACTCAAAATACTAACATGAGAAATGAAAAGAGGAACCATTGCTTCTGATTCTACAGAAATAAAAAGAGTTATGAGAGAGTATCATGAACACTTACCATCAAATTGTATAGTCTTGGGGCGCCTGGGTGGCTCAGTCAGTTAAGCGGCCGACTTCATCTCAGGTCATGATCTCGCGGTCAGTGAGTTCAAGCCCTGCGTCGGGCTCTGTGCTGACAGCTCAGAGCCTGGAGCCTGTTTCAGATTCTGTGTCTCCCTCTCTCTGACCCTCCCCCATTCATGCTCTGTCTCTCTCTGTCTCAAAAATAAATAAAGGTTAAAAAAAATTTTTTTTAATTGTATAGTCTTGATGAAATGGACAAATTCCTAGAAATGCCAAATCTAGCAAGACTAAATCAGAAAGAAACAAAATCATTCAGATTACTAGTAAGGATAGTGAGTTAGCAATCAGAAACTCTCCCAACAAAGAAGAGGCTGGAATTTGATGCCTTAAAAAACAAAACAAAAACCCAAAACTACCAATTCTTCTCAAACATTTCCAAAAAATTGAAGAGAAGGGAACGTTTCCTAAAAGTCACTCTGTGAGACCGCATTACCCTGATACTGAAGCCAAACAAAGACACTATAAGGACAGAAAACTATAGATCAGTACCCTTTACAAATACTGACTTTTTTTTTAAAGATCTTTTACTAACAAATGGGTGCCTGGGTGGTTCAGTTGGTTGAGATCTGGTCGTGAGATCT